ATATTGAAGATATATCTATGTACGATATATATATATATAGAAAATTAAAAAAAAAAATTAGAAGGAGGATGATGCACTGTCTGTGCCAGAAGAGAAAAAAAAAACGAGAGGGGAGGAGAGATTGAAGATATATATATATATATATATATATATATATATATATATATAACCAACTCTATGAAAGAAAAGCAAGACCCCTATATTTTATTATTATTTTGTTTCTTCTTTTCTCTCTCATCATGATAAGTGCTTTAATAAACTGAACTATGAAATATATATGAATATATATGTTTGGTTGTCATTATGTATATTTTTAATAGTATTTCATATATGTATATTATTTTATTATTTAAACGATATATTAGTATTTTTTTATACTATTTTGTATTAATATATATTAATTAATTTATGTACATTAGTTAGATACCTATTTTTTGTTAAGTTGATATAACTACATATATATGCGTTGTAACGATCTCAAAAATTAAAAAGAAACATATTTTTTGTTAAGTTGATATAACTACATATATATACGTTGTAACGGTCTCAGAAATTAAAAAGAAACGCATATATAAAATTCTAAGTGCGGAAGCGAAATAAAATATTATGATTAACATCTCTTACACAATAATCAAAACGTATTAAACGTATGAAAAAATAAACTAACTAAAGTGAATAATAAAAATAAATACTATAAGGAAAACTATAAAATCTTTAGACATTTACTTGCCATATTCCTGCGGGCTCGGAAACCAAGTCCTCATGATCTGAAATTGTTAAGTAAGGAATGAGCTACACTAGCCCAGTAAAGAATATCACATTATCTCACTGTCACAGAAGTAAAGATTGGTAGAAACCAAAAACGACTAATGGAGCATAATTTATAACAAATTCATTTATCAATAATAAAACCCTTTACTATCCACTTATCTCGGTGAGATTCATGAAAACAACTTATTAAAATAATAACATTATAATATCATGAAATCATACGCACTCTATAACATGACACATGTCATACTTTAATATTTCAATCATTAAGTAACAAATTTCCTCATTCAACAGCCTACCAGTATCTATGGGGATCCATAAAGGGTTCCCGCCACACATGAATCATTCATTTTAACAACTTAATTCTAAAGCCGTTCCCATACTCCATCCGGTATAGCGCCAAAACAATAAACCTCAATACCCCGTCCGGTATGAGGGTGAAGCGGCTCGTCCCCATACCCCGTCCGGTATGAGCACCAAAACATTTAAAGTCTCCATACCCCGTCCAGTATGGGCGCCAAAACAATAAACTTCATACCCCGTCCGGTATGAGGGTGAAGCGGACCATCCCATACCTCGTCCGGTATGAGCGCCAAAACATTTAAAGTCTCTATACCCCGTCCGGTATGAGAGACAACGTTCCCGGTAGGGTCCCTTATGGACCCGGTCTGTCCACCATCTTCCAGGATGTCTAGTGAGGCTCTTAACCTATCTATTTATCAAGTCAATCTCATTCCTATTTGTTTTTAGTCTCAATTACCCAATCAAACATGAATACGTAGACTAGTAACGAACACCAAACCAGGCAAACATAACATCGACTTCATAATAATTAAATCATAATAAATTAAACAGTGAATCATGCATACGAAGCCACTGAATAAACAAATCAGATACTACACTACATTTAGACTGTAAAATAAATCAAACAGGAACTGACTGAAAAACATATCAGATTCGGGCTCCACTAGTAACTTTAATTAATTATACATATCCATGAATTCATAAAATACTGTTTTATCATTTATTAGACTTTCATATCGTGATAGAAAATAGGGTGAGAGATCCTTACTTGATTCGAAGTCTAAAATCGGTCTTTTCACTGTGCCTACGGGCAGTCCCTAGATTCTATAATTTTTTTTTTCGGGAACTGAAACACACTTTCGGTACCTGCACATGTCCCCAAAAAAATTCCAAATCAGACCCAGGGCCTCCTCGGCCAATTTCAGAATTCTGGTACGGCGGCTCCGCCGCTTGAGGCGGTGATTCGCCTCAGGTTGGCCGTTTCTGGCCGAATTCAACCAAACTTGCATTGGTTCATGTGATAAAACACACGTAAGGCCCTCGGTGGGCCGAAAAAACTCAAAAAACTAAGACTTACCGGCGGCGGATCTCTTAGGTGCGGCGGCTCCTCCGGCGCAAGTCACGATTTAGTGTTTTACTCCGGTCAACCTGTAGAGGAAAGGACAGTAGTCACAGTGGTGTAAAAATTACATCAAACGGGAATCGGGAAGGGCCTCATCGGAGGCAAAAATCGAGAAAACTCACGGCGGCACCGCTAGGCTTCGGTGGCGTTTTTCGGCCAATTGGGCAGTGGTTTGGCTCCGATTTGGCCATAGGGGGGTTCAACATCGAAATAAGCCAAGGAGAGAAATTTTACCTCGTTTGGCGGCCGGAAAGTGCTCCGGTGCGGCAGCGGGTGGCGGCGGTCAGTTCCTCCGGTGGCTGGGCTGTCTTTTCCGGCG